GATTTCGGTGTCAGACCAGCTGCCGATGAAATAGTCAAGTCAAAGGTAATGTAATGGAACAGAGGATCGGACCCCGACGCACACAATGGATTCGGAAATATTAAATGAAGCGGCCGAAGCACGGCGATAGGTCATCGCGAACAATGGCGAGTCCCTATCTCTTGCCAAAAATTTTTTGGGGCGAACTAGCTTTTTTCCCGCGTACGATAGGCTCCGGTGTGGAATTGTACCTGCATTCCTATTCTTCCGTACTTCAGGGAGCATGCCAAAAGTTATCTTTTTTTTTCTGTTTCTCGTTCGCTCGTTCCGCAAATATTTGTTCCCCGCACGAGCAAAAAAAAAAAGAGAAAAAGAAATGTGAGCACTGCTAACGGCAGGAATTATCGCTGTTTTATTAACAGCACTCGCGCGCGATATTGTTGCAAAGTGCGCGGATTTAATAAGGGTTCCATTAACGCGCAGAAATTCGTGCGCCAGAGGCGGAAAAAGGTTCTGAAATTCTTTCTGGCGATCGATACCGCGTGCTGGGAGGTATACGATGCTGGCTGGCACGTGGTACGGATGAGTAGACGTTTTCTTCGTATGTATTCCCACAAGAGGACAACGAGCGTTTGGTGCTACAGTGACTCACAGTCAACGTCGGCCGCACACTATCGTTGGATTAAACGCGATGAATGAAATACTGAATGCGGTAATCCACATTGAATTTGCTAATGCGAAAATTATGATAAATAATATGCAATATTCCGAGAAAGAAATACGATAACATCGCAATGACGCAGAGAGAGAGAGGGAGGGGTGCCTCGCTGCAAATCTCGGCCGCGAGCAGAATTTGTATTTACTATTTCCATTGAGCGTTACAGCGCGATACAGTAACATTTACGTGCTAAGTGTTCTCTTAACCCTCTCAGTGCCGACCAAAAGAGTCGTGTGTAGCTGAGCGAAATATACCGAAGCAGATTGGTAAAGGCCGGGAGAGAAATTAGAACAATTTCGTAGAACACGATAATTAGAAAATTCGAACGGAACGGAGAAACGAGAAATAGAACTGTTGCACATTAAAAATATTAAGAAAACAATATTTGGTGTGCACTTCTTGACTAATTAGTCAAGTCCGTGCGAAATAGTTTGCCAAGTGTTGAGCGAAGAAAGGGCTATTAAAATATTAAATTCCTGCTATCACTTTCACTCTTTCTAATCAGTTATTATGCAAAATGTTTCGTGGCCGAAATTCGCTGCGAGTTCTCACTTATTTGTTACGAAACATCCGAAGAAAGACATCCGAAACAAAGTAATTATTTTCGGGTGAAAATTAATCTATTTTGCGCTTCGTTCCGCGCCTTAAGCTTCGAACGATCGTGTGGACGATTTTGAGCGTGAATCGCTGTATGAAAACGAAAAGTGACATTTTCGCGATCGGATCGACTGTTGTATAATATTATATTGCCCGACAACTTGGATACGTCGCGTATTATCGATAATAATTGCGTTCGTGATGTAATTATTACTGTATAATGAAATTGGTGGAACATCGCGCCAGAGCGTCGCTACAGGCACATATTTGCAAGCCGAGTTATAATTATTAGCGGAGACTAGAGTTATTTCTAGACCGTATATACAATGCTTTGATTACACAATTACGCCTCTTGACACAGTGTAATTATATTTTCCGGCCAATTTCGCGTGGGCAAGTTTACAATGAATGTTGAACCTGGGGCCGATCGGGGAAGCAAAAAACGAGCCTGGATCCCCCGTGCATTCGCTCGGGACGCGAAGATTTTTAATTAAAAATATTACCCGCGATATCGAGGCGGCGTGCTTTCACCTTCGTCGAGCAATTAAAATGAATACAAACTCCGGTGTAAATTGAAATGTGCCCGGGGGGTCGTCGCGCCGGTGCGGCAAAGGGACGGAAAAGATTTTCGAGAGGAAATTTCGGGATCAGGAGCGACCGAGCCCATGGCCGTGAGTTCCTCGTCGCATAACCGTGGCAAAAGAGCCCTGGCAGAGCCGAAATTATTGCGTTTTCTTGGCCCCCGTCCAAACACCGACAACTAACAGCCGTGTGATTATTGCAACACAGTCTATATTGGCCTACATCGATATGGACACAGATCGCGCGTCGGATGCGTTTAATCAGTGCTCCCTTAGGGGAGTATTGTTGTCTAAAGCGCGACGTTATGGACTAACTGTGATTTAATACCGTGAAAATGCACGTTTCTGGATGCTTTAGCAGTCTCTTGCGAACAAATTTCTCGTGTGCTTTTTTTGTCAAAATTAGGACAGACTCGAGTAGACGATTCTTCGGGATAAGAATACCGCTGTTTCGTTTAGCTCAAGTTTCTCGAATTTTCACGACGTCGAACGTATCATGAACAAAGATCTGCTCTCTACTTTTACGGGTATACTGCGGATTTTATGCATTCACGACAACACTGAACACGTGAAATAAAAATAGAATACCGTGGCAACGCTGTTGACTTATGAAAATTATTGAAAAAAGCAATTAATGTTTACTTGTGTTCTCCCTTTCTCGCAATTAACTTAGAACATTTTTATTTTGCATAAAGGTTTAGTTATATAAGAGCACTACAATAAATGTATAGGGTGTCATACGGTGCAACCGGACAGGGGCTGATTCTACGTCAGAAAATAAGTCGAAGGAGAAGAATAACATTATTTCGTTTAAGGCTTCGTTCTCGAGAAATCCGAATTGGAAGAAGCGTCAAGTTCGCGTGGCTTGTAGTGCGACGAGAAGTGGAATTGGAATGTAGTCGCCAGACGCGCGCCGTTTGATTCCTGTTCGATAGTATTATTTTCTCAACCGAATTTTTCTCGAGAATGGAGCCTTGACTGAAAGGAGTTTATCCTATAGTTTCGACTTGTTTTTCGACGTAGAATCAGCGCCTGTTCGGTTGTCAGTTACACGACAGCCTGTATTAGAGCAAAACGAAAGAATCCATATGTCTACGATGATCGGAGAATTGTACTTCGTTCCTGGTCAGAATTAATTCGTCGAAATTCAAAGAACAACGCTATTTTGTGAACGAAATATCCACGCACTCTACTTTTCGTGCTATAAATACATGCACCAAAGGTACACGCAAGTGTAAAATCGTTTGGTCGAATAGATTTCGAGAGATTAACTACGTTAGAGAAGATTCATAAATAAAATTTTAAACCATCCTAAATACAATAAGCAACAGTGTTCTTCTGTCTGTAATCAATTTGATCACGTTATCATTGGTATGAAACCTTATGCATTCAGCTGATGTAGGAACGCAAGAAGTTCATTGTACATTATCTAAAAATAAAGTTCAGAGATATTGACCGAAGAATGAACCTTTCGTACAACCTCGATCTTCGCATTGGTCTATGATATCCCCCGCCGATCGAACGTCCCAGCATCCCTTGCTCGAGTACAGCCGTTCGACGGGATCGGGTCGAGTGCTGGAAACGCTTATGAGGCGATCGCGTAAACAACGAATTATCGACTTTAATAATAACCCAGATCCGCGCGACGAGCCGCCGACGGGTCGCCGTTCGCGAAACAATTTTCGAACCGCGGCGGTGCCGAGTAACATTGCACGTGGCCGCCGCTCCAACAAGTTACATCCCTCCGCGTTACATCCCCCTAATAATCGCGCACGATTACGTCGCAGCCGGTAATCTTTCCGGGCCGTGAGCACGCGACCCCTCTTTCGATTAGCTATGCGATTCAAGGTCGTGCCTAGTGCGCAACTCGGTACCGAACCGAGAAAAACCAACAATAACAACCATCCTAGCGAATATATTATACTTATAGGTGTCGCGTAGAAAGAAGCTCTCGGGGACGCTCGTTTTACGTGGTCGCGTCGCGATCGCACGTGGGCCTCGGTGGATCCATTATTCGAGATCGATGGCATGGGTGGAGAAATAGAAAAGTTAACGATTTAGGAAAGGGTGGGTGAGGATGCGACAAAGATAGAGAGAGAGAGAGAGAGAGAGAGAGAGAAATATATATAGAGCGATATATAGACAGAGCAAGGGCGAGAGAGAGAGAGAGAGAGAGAGAGAGAGAGAGAGAATTAAAGAGGCATGCAACTGACAGCCAGATGACAGCTGACCGAGTGACCCGCAGCAACCACCCCTTCCGCTCGGCAATTCTCGATTTTCCTCGGAATCGACGAGCAGACAGGGGCTGGCTTTTGTTTCGATAGAATAATCAGAGCTTACCACCTTGCTTACGGACTGGCATCGTTCTTGGCGGCGGATAAATCCCCGACGGAGCTGGTTCGAAACGTCGGTGGCACGGTTGCGTGGGCAGGGGGTGGACGACAGGGGGTCACCGAGGACACGGACACGGCACTTTTGCTTGTGAGCTTCGCGGACTGGAAACGGAACGCGAGACCAGCGAGAAAAATCAGCACAAAAGCCACACGGCGTGTCACTTGGATACTAGAGGGGGATCGCGCACGGCACACTATTGTCACGCGAATCGACGACCTGTTTCACGGGCGGCGTAGACGGGCACGTACACGGTTCGGCACGTCACTCGCGAGACCTCCCGGTGGCCCGTCGAAACGTGGGCAAAACGAAACGGATATAAACACAGGCCGCCACCACTCGGCCACAGGCAATATGGCGTCGCGCTTACTCTAGCAGCCGGAAAACTGACTGGCCGCGAGAACGCCACCTCCGATTGGTCGATCGCACCATGCGTGACGTCAGGTCGCCCCTGTGACGCGCTACCCCGTAAACGCAACCCCCGATGAGAGCACACCACAAGAACGCGTGTGCCTGATCCTCCGTAGCTAGCCTCGAAATTCTAACGGCATTAGAAGCACGATCTCTCGCTTGAATACCACGTCTAACCGAGGCACAACGTTCTTGGAGGATTGCGAAATGTTCGTTAGTTTCCGACAGATACGCAGAGTATCGACGGTCTAATCACAGTTTATATTTATGTTTCGATGCGCGCCCGTTACGCGTCGCTAGCTGTCGATGGCTACGGTAGCTCTATCTTGCGGTGTCGAATGAAAAGTGTTTTCGGCGACCACGTTTATGAGCTCGTCGTAATTTGGATATCGGTTATTTGTTGTTTATCCCTGTTGTTAAAGGTGAATTAGATGTAAGTTGATGGATTATGAATGATGAGGAATGTTTTATAAGGCTAGAGAGATTCGATAGTAAACGATGTCAAATCGAGACTTCGGTGAAATGCAGCTGTTTCGTAATGTTATTTTGTTAGGTTTTAAACAATTATGTAAAGATTATATTAGACTTTGTTCCTAAAATATTTCAAGACGTCATGGGTTTCCGTATAAGAGCAATGATAATGCCGATGTGATTCAAATACTCGGTGTAGCGAAATCATTACCTATGCGATTATTTTCGTAGAGCAAGATTGATGGCAGCAGTAGCCATACATTCAGGCAAACCAGAGGATGAAGTTGTTTCAGGCGTTGTAGTACCTGGTAGTCACTGGAGATTGTTAAAGGAGTGGAAGCCGAAGTCGGAAGTGTATGTGGTTTATATTCGACTGAAAACTTTCATTTACTGGTAAAACATTCTTAATTTTCCTGTATTAGATGGTGGCTACTACATGGTGACAAAATGATTGGGGGAATGTGTGTCGTAAATGCGTTGCTGATTAATACTATATTTAGAAACAAATTGAAACTGCATCACAAAGGTTCCATGACTACAAATTTTTTTGCGTCCACGGGACCTATGTTTTTAGGGTCTGGCTTTTATAAATCGGTATGTTGTCATATAATATAATAACAAGAGCATATTTTGTAATTGTAATTCATTATTTTCAGTTTATCACACGTGATATAATATTACACAAGCAGTCATGTACATTGTGTTCTCTAATGAAAGGAAACTTGCTTACGCTATGTGCAGGTTTACTCTTTCCATTAGCTACATTGCCAGCATTGAATATTGGAGTAAGATTGTTACTTTCATATTACTTCTACATATGTTATTCAATTTTTGTAGATATTGTATTAGTTTCTTTTTCATATAGATGGCTGCAAATTTGGGCCTAAGAGTACCCCATCCTACTGAGTGGAAAGAACTTGTTCGATTTGGCTGGAATACTTTAAAACCAGCAATGAAACATCTGACAGTCATGCTTATATTTAGTTCTATTACAGCGAGTCTTGTAACATACCAACAGATTCGGTCGATAAATAATGTAGTAAAGATTATAATGGATATGGATCAATATAACAGAGAACATGGAGTTGATCAACTTACCGAATAATTTTTGTTTTGCCTAGGTATGTATCTATACTATTTGCTTATACTGACTATACACATATTTATACATAGGGGCAAGCAATAAAAATAAAGTCTTGACATACATAAAAAGTCGTTTATTTATTACATGTTAATTAATCATTAATATTTTAAATTATACGTGAAACGTGATATTGAAATTTTAATTCAATAAATAATTCATTAATTATTGTATTACA